ACACAAAGAGAGAGAGAGGGGATTAAGACACAGAGGGAGGGGATTAACACACATACAAGGAGAGATTAAGACACATACAGAGGGATTAAAAAAACACACACAGATGAGATTAAGACACAGGGGAGGGAGAAAATAGAGATAAGGATTAAGACATACAGAGAGAGAGGGTTTAAGACACATAGATATGGATTAACACACAGGCTCAGGGATTAACACTCATACAGAGAGAAAGAGTGCGTGATTAATACACAGACAGAAAGGGGGATTAAGACACACACACACGGGGAAAGAGAGAGGGATTAAGACACACAGCGGGTTTAAGACAGATAGAGAAAAAGAGAGAGAGGAATTAAGACACACGTACATATACAGAGGGGGAAATTAAGACACACACATACGCGCGGGGATTAAGACATACACACAGAGGGCGATTAAGACACACACACACACACAGACGGATTAGGACACACACACACAGATGGGGGATTAAGACACAGAGAGTGACCTAGAGAGAGAGATTGACACACACACAGAGGGGATTAAGACAAACACACAAAGAGGGGGATTAACACACACACACACACACACACACACACGCACACACAGAGAGAGATATCAGAATAGGCATGTGATTTGCATGTTTCTGCACATCGTACGATCTCAGTTTAAATGTAACAACACTGGTTTCCATGGCATCAGAGCCTACAAATAATCGTCTTTATTCTTCTAAATCTTTTTTTTTCCCGCCCACAAATTATTTTATTATTAAGTACGTTTCATTTTTCTTTCTTTCTGATCTACTAATAAAGTGGTCATAAAAATATGTGCACCTAGTCTACGTTCACCACATACTGTCTACGTTCACCACATACTGTCTACGTTCACCACATACTGTCTACGTTCACCACATACTGTCTACGTTCACCACATACTGTCTACGTTCACCACATACTGTCTACGTTCACCACATACTGTCTACGTGTCTTATTCTTTTCCTAAATATTGAGATTATGCAGTTTGGTTGTCAAAGGTTTGATTTCGTCATCATCATTATCATCGCATCACGATCCTGTTCACATGTCATAGACTATTTAGATGTCTAGGACTGCTGCATTGACATAGACATAGACTGTTTAGATGTCTAGGACTGCTACATTGACATAGACATAGACTGTTTAGATGTCTAGGACTGCTGCATTGACATAGACATGGAATGTTTAGATGTCTAGGACTGCTACATTGACATAGACATAGACTGTTTGGAAGTCTAGGACTGCTAAATTGACATTGACATAGACTGTTTAGATGTCTAGGACTGCTACATTGACATAGACTGTTTAGATGTCTAGGTCTGCTGCACTGACATAGACATAGACTGTTTAGATGTCTAGGTCTGCTGCACTGACATAGACATAGACTGTTTAGATGTCTAGGACTGCTATATTGACATAGACATAGACTGTTTAGATGTCTAGGACTGCTACATTGACACCGACATAGACTGTTTAGAGGTCTAGCACTGCTACATTGACACAGACATTGACTGTTTAGATGTCTAGGACTAGTTCAATGACATACTTTACATTTCATGTCTATGAATGCTGCATTGAAATCGACTGTCTTAGCTGCCTAAGATTGCTTCACTGACATCAACATAGACCGTTTTTACACGTCTATGGCTGCTACATTGACACTGTCAGCTATTAGGAACATGTATGGACAACTGTTCGTGTGGTGTTCTGGCATGTATATATGCCTACTTGATAAATACTGAGTTATCCATTCTGTGGAGTTTAGTTTGAATCCGACAAGAAAGGACGTATGAGAGAAAGAGTACGGTGTGTGTACAAACCAGCAAGAAAAAACACACAGGAGATAGAGTACAGCGTATGTACGACATGGGTACAATCTGACAAGACAGGACATATGAGAGGAACGGTGCAACAGGCGTACAGCTCGTGTGTAACTACAACAGTCAGTATCACTTCAATTCTGTCAGTGCCAGAAAGTCGTTGACGATGTCACAGGACAGTAACAACAATCATTGCTGGTCTCAATCCACAGGACAGTAACAACAACCATTGCTGGTCTCAATCCACAGGACAGTAACAACAATCATTGCTGGTCTCCATTAACAGGACAGTAACAACAATCATTGCTGGTCTCAATCCACAGGACAATAACAACAACCATCGCTGGTCTCAATCCACAGGACAGTAACAACAATCATTGCTGGTCTCAATCCACAGGGATCAAAATGACAAAACTTTCAGAAACAAACATGTTTCTTTTTTTTTTTTTTTTAAAGTAATTAAATATGCTATGGCCCTGGTAAGATGTATAAAGGAACATAACAGATTGTTTAGTAAACATTAGTAATATCTAGTGAGGCAACGTGCTTTGGCACTAATAATGTTAATGCATCTACTGTGGGAGGGGGGGGGGGGGTTAGGTCATCAATGGATATGCCCTTATGTTGTGATGTCGATTCTGTAATCAGTAGTCACTGCCAAAAGAGGGTGCTAAAATGTTACATAGAACCTGTTCTGCTGTATGGTAGGGAATCTTGGAATGTCAGTGAAGAAATAAGGAAGAATTTGGAAGCAACAGAGATGTGGTTTCTGAGACAAATGTTACGAAAACCTTGGACAGTCCGAGTAACTAACAACGATTGCTTGGAAGAGGCTAATGAAAGTAGATCTCTACATACAACAATAAGAAACAAACACTGTTCTTTGGCCACGTAATGATAAAAGAGACATTGGGGAGATCGTGACAACTGCAAAGATCAGTGGGAAAACGAGAAGAGGCAGACCAAGAGATGATGCTGGATAGGCTAAAACGATGGCATGGAGAGATATCATCAAGAGAGTTGTTCCATGCAACCAGGAATCGTGGCCTGTGGAGGCGCATGAGCGCCTATATCAAGCGCCTATATCAGGTGGCAAGGCACATGATGATGAATCAATGCCAGACACGGACATTCCTAGGAAAACACGAACGAAGAATTAAATATGTGACATGAGACGTTTAAACAAAAATACGGCGGGAAAAAAAAATAAAGAGACAAGAGTCACCATTGAAGAGCTATGAGCAATGGTCGGCACAGCACCGGTCAATGATTTCACAGAACATCAAAGTTTGGTCATCTGGTCAGAATCAAATAAAATCAGCCAGCTGTCAGAGGGCACTGCATGAGAACATCCGGCTATAAGGCGAGAGGCCGACCAAGAAAATGAGATGCAAGGATGGAGTATAAGAGACACTACAGAAATACAATATGACAATAACACAAGCTACAGATATGAAACTACATCTAACTTCTCTCTACAACCTTTGACAGATATGAAACTACATCTAACTTCTCTCTACAACCTTTGACAGATATGAAACTACATCTAACTTCTCTCTACAACCTTTGACAGATATGAAACTACATCTAACTTCTCTCTACAACCTTTGACAGATATGAAACTACATCTAACGTCTCTCTGCAACCTTTGACATATATGAAACTACATCTAACTTCTCTCTGCAACCTTTGACAGATATGAAACTACATCTAACTTCTCTCTGCAACCTTTGACAGATATGAAACTACATCTAACGTCTCTCTGCAACCTTTGACAGATATGAAACTACATCTAACTTCTCTCTGCAACCTTTGACAGATATGAAACTACATCTAACTTCTCTCTACAACCTTTGACAGATATGAAACTACATCTAACTTCTCTCTGCAACCTTTGACAGATATGAAACTACATCTAACGTCTCTCTGCAACCTTTGACAGATATGAAACTACATCTAACGTCTCTCTGCAACCTTTGACAGATATGAAACTACATCTAACTTCTCTCTGCAACCTTTGACAGATATGAAACTACATCTAACGTCTCTCTGCAACCTTTGACAGATATGAAACTACATCTAACGTCTCTCTGCAACCTTTGACAGATATGAAACTACATCTAACTTCTCTCTGCAACCTTTGACAGATATGAAACTACATCTAACTTCTCTCTGCAACCTTTGACAGATATGAAACTACATCTAACTTCTCTCTGCAACCTTTGACAGATATGAAACTACATCTAACTTCTCTCTGCAACCTTTGACAGATATGAAACTACATCTAACTTCTCTCTGCAACCTTTGACAGATATGAAACTACATCTAACGTCTCTCTGCAACCTTTGACAGATATGAAACTACATCTAACTTCTCTCTACAACCTTTGACAGATATGAAACTACATCCAACTTCTCTCTGCAACTCGTGACGGCAGAAGAAGACAAACAAAAGAAGAAGTTGGAGAAGAGTCAGATTTACTGTATAGAAACATGAAAGCCACTGTCATTCCAGTGTAAAAAAGATTGGCTTGAGTTGCAGTAAAATCATCTTTTAAATAAATTTAATCTCTTGTAGTTTTAAATTCTGCTGATTATATAGCAAAAATCAGATCAGCAAAATCTTGCAGGACTTCTATGCGACGTCAAAGGGTCTCATTTGCTACTTCTATTAAAAGAATCAGTTTAAAAAAAAAAGTAAATAAAGGACCTTTTTTTCCACGCCTTCAGTCGTATTGGGTATATAGGGCTAGACCTATATTTGATAGACCAAACGGCACATGGTTGGTGATGATGTCAGCATCACTCCGCCGACCACCTTTACTTCCTAGGACTGTACCTAGTACCCACTCAAGGCTAGGTCTACCTGGAAGCCAAGGACAGTTTTTGAAAAAATGCCGGCCCCCGTCAGGACCCGAACCCTCGACCTTCAAGCGTCTAGCCGCTCAACCACGGTGGCTACCAACAGAAACAGTAGCAGCTGTTTAATAGTATTGTCACACATGAGCACAAGATGCTATTTAGTTTGTGTTCAATCACATCTGATGTAAATAAAAATCGTTTCGTGAGGTGAACAAGTTTGTTTCTTTCATATTCTCTTTAGATGTAGTTTTAGAAAATGACTTCATACAGTGCACATGGCATTTGTTTTAGTTTATATCATCTTTCATTGTATCATAGAATCGGGCGGGGCTACAATCGTCTGAAGTGGCGGAACTGACGGGCGAATAATGAGGCAGAATCGAGGGCGATTCCGGCACACCACTGCTGTTGGGAGAGGGAACACTTGGAGGCGGGCTCAAAGTGATTGACACCTGGTGATTAAAGTGAGGGGATGGTACAGAGGTCGTTGATGAGGCACGTCTGACAACGTGGTGGGCTGGTGTGTCTGGATTAGGCGTGGTTGAATTGTAACATTGTGAAACTCCGGCAGCAGTTGGCTGAAACTGTAACGAACTGCAGTCCTTGAACTTGGTCTCCATGGAGATGGAACATGGTGATCTAGGAGAAAGGCTGACTTGGGGAGAAGATAGAGACACCGGGCTCAGGGGAGAGTCTGGTTTTATCTGGGCAATATGGTCCCCATCACAGCTGCTGAGGTAGCTGTCCACTCCATCGGTTTGTTCAGTTTTGAGGTAGCTGGTGATAAAAGAATCAAGGAGGAACTCGTTGAAATTCGCCGTGTTGATGATGACATTGCTAACTCCGGTCCGTGATAGCACGCCAGGTCCATCCTCGTTTGGTTTAGAGTTGTCAGAAGAGACCACTGAGTTGAGATTTGGGTCACCGCTGTATGTCCGTTGAAAGAAATGTTTTCCTGTCTGCCAGGCAATAACGGGAGAAGAACTTATATCTCCATAACTCTTTGCCGCGTGGTCATTCCTGGACATTTCTAGGTTACAGTTGGGAACTTCCTGAATGTAACTTGCTGACATCTTAGGACTCAGCTGACCATTGGAGCAAATCGAATCTGGGCATAAGGAGTTTACGCCGGAGTGTGAGGCTACAAAAATGTCATCATTGCTGCAGGAGAAGGAACTGGTGTTGTTGCTTGAGAAAGACGTACTTGGTGTCAGCTGGGTGAAAAAGGAAGAACTGGCACCCCCAGATGAAGTCATGACAATCGGCGTCGGTGACATGGCGTTAAACAAACTAGTCGGGGACAAGTCCGGCGGGGAAGACTCCATGGAGTGATCTGAGAAATCTGGTTCCGTGGGCAGCAGGGAAGAGATTTCGTGTACCGGCAGCTCTTCTAGCTCCGGAATGGCGGTAACGTTTTGTTCTGCATGATAAACTGCCTGGGCAGCTGCACTTGGTAGCTGGCTAGTAATGCTTGTACACGCTTCTTGACGTTGGAAGAACTGCTGAGTGAATACGCCTGGGCTCAGAGCTTCCATTTGGTTCTGGTGTGTGCGTGAGCCCAAGGGCGATGACATGACCTGAGTTTGACGACGTGAAGGGTGTACATACTTCACATTTAATCCCAGCAAGGTCACTAGTCTGTTCCTGGTGGGCTCGTCGCTGGACGCAGTGGGGCACTGACCGTTAAGGATGTGTTCTAGACAAAACTTGCTGAAGACTGCCTCTTTGTGTCTAAGATAAGTGACATCGTTTCTTAGCTGCTGGTTTTCATCTCTGACAACTCGATATTTCTGGAACACAACAATATAATCAGTCATTTTATATATCTGATAGACAAATATGTTAAGTACCTGGGTGAGATGGAAGATGTGTCAAAGAGGTTAAATGTAGAATAGCTCAAGCAAAGACAACATTTTAGAAAGTTAAGAATATTTCAAGCAATCTTTTTCTTGGAAATTGAGACCAGAAAGATAATTATAAAAATGTATACACAACTTCTATCCTGATATACGGAAGTGAATCGGGGACATTTGGTAGATTCGTGAAAAAATGTTTGGAAGCTGAGGAGATGTGGTTTTATAGACGATTGATGAGAATACCCTGGACAGATTATTTGAAAAAAAAAAAAACCGGACTTGCTTAGAGAACTCATTGCCCACAGCAAAAACAAACAATCTACATTCTTTGGTCATGTGACGAGAAGGAGAAAACTGGCGCATATCGTGACAGTGGGAAAGTTGGAGGGGAAGAGATGCATAGGGAGACAGAGAGAACTTATGCTGGACACTCTGACAGCATGGCCTGGAGGATCATCCGTGTTAAAGTTGACTGAAAGTACACGAGACAGGGCTTGGACTTAGAGAAGACAAAAACAAATGACAAACTTATCTAAGATATTACACACACACTCATACAGACACGCACATACGCACCCACGCACGCATGCATACGCACGCACGCATGCAAGCACATATACACAAGCACACACGCTCGCGCGCCCGCACACACACACACACACCGCGGGAGAGAATCATTCACACTTTAAAAAAAAAATCACAGAGCCACCGGTTGCCTAACAAGCATGTTGTCTAGGTGACTAATCAGAAATGTTTCCCTCCAAGTTGGAATGCATTCGCCTCAGGGGTAAGGAACTAAGAGTCTGCACAGAAATAAGGCAGATCTGTAAATCAGATGTGCACCTAAGGTCAAGTTCTGGAACAAAATCAAAATCCAGAAGTGGACGAACAACCAGAACTGTTCGCCAGAGTTTACAGCGGCTGAACGCCAAGAAGAAGAATAAAAACAAAATATGAACCGCCTTTCCAAGTTGACGCAGCCTAAAACAGGTACGAGGAAGATGTCACGGGAAGTAAAGATGGTCTGTGATGCTAACACTGTCATGCACCGAGTAGCCAAAAGTCTACACAAACTGAGGTAGCACAATAGGACCGATGCCTGAAATCACAAGGCTGGAAAAAGCTTCGGGTACCAACCCGAATAGGGGAGAACAACGGACAGACAGGTCCTAATATTACATTAGAGGACAATGAAGGTTGAATTAGGAATCCACATCGCAGCTCTCGGGGCACTCCTATATTCTGCTCATCTTCTGCAGCAAGCGAAGATGCCACCAGTAACTGTTTGACTGCATGTCTAGATGCACACACCCGAGCCAGGTGTATGGACTCCTTTAGGATATCCGCTGCCTCTTAGGAAGTGAGCAGGCAGATAGACTGGCCGGTTCTGCGTCACTTGATGGTGAATTGATGTATGACAATCTAGTCGTTGTGAGGGCCCTCTGGGAACAAGTGAACAGTGCGGAGGCGCAAATAGATCATTACGGAGAATTAGGCTGCGAGGAGTTACCAGGGGATCTGGCCGACGTTCAGAACTCAAGGGAGAGGCGAGACTGATATACAATCAGTCAGTTGCTGGTGCTTTCGGAATTGGAACTCTTCGTTTGCTGCTCAAGATGGGGACGGAGCGCCTATGATGCCAGTTCTTAATTCAACATTCAAAATTTCTGCCTCTTCCCCAGCAGGATTGAAATACTAGGGTGACGGTTACCTTTCTGCACTGAAAAAATATTTTCTATGGATTATCAGGTGTTGAGATGAACAGACAGATCTCTCATTGTGCTCTCCCGGGCCCATTTGTGGAGAGTGGGACAGACATACTGCCCGCCCACCAACAAGCAGGAAATAAAAGACACCTAATTAGAGGCGTCTCCTTCGAAGTCAGAGTACATCTGACTGAGAGGCAAGGAACCAACAGTCTGCATAGAAATAAGCCAGATATTAAAAAACGGATGTGCCGGTGAAACTCATATTCTGGAACACGACTTGGTTCACAAGTGGACAAACTACCAGAACTTGCTACTAGAGTTTACAACCGGTGAACCTAAAGAAGAGGTAGACGCATAATAACGATCAAAAATTCCAACCGCATTTTATCGTGGAAGCTACTCAACGAAACATGACAAACAATGTGACGATGCGATAAAAGTATGAACTGCCGTATCTGAACATCCTTTGACTAGAATGACAATCAAACTGGTAAATACTGACCACCACGTATAGATGCTAACGTAAGGGGTAGATAGAGTAAGACATACTAGATAACATTACCAAGCTGTTGCTACCAAACGACGGCGTCTAACCGCATTAACAAGTGAACTTCAAAGCGCAGCACTGCTGCATTTCATAGAACTGACACGACACACTTCATCTGCTGTATTTCATAGAACTGACACGACACACTCGATCTGCTGCATTTCATAGAACTGACACGACACACTCGATCTGCTGTATTTCATAGAACTGACACGACACACTCGATCTGCTGTATTTCATAGAACTGACACGACACACTCGATCTGCTGTATTTCATAGAACTGACACGACACACTTGATCTGCTGTATTTCATAGAACTGACACGACACACTCGATCTGCTGCATTTCATAGAACTGACACGACACACTTGATCTGCTGTATTTCATAGAACTGACACGACACACTCGATCTGCTGCATTTCATAGAACTGACACGACACACTTGATCTGCTGTATTTCATAGAACTGACACGACACACTCGATCTGCTGCATTTCATAGAACTGACACGACACACTTGATCTGCTGTATTTCATAAAACTGACACGACACACTCGATCTGCTGCATTTCATAGAACTGACACGACACACTTGATCTGCTGTATTTCATAGAACTGACACGACACACTCGATCTGCTGCATTTCATAGAACTGACACGACACACTTGATCTGCTGTATTTCATAGAACTGACACGACACACTCGATCTGCTGCATTTCATAGAACTGACACGACACACTTGATCTGCTGTATTTCATAGAACTGACACGACACACTCGATCTGCTGTATTTCATAGAACTGACACGACACACTTGATCTGCTGTATTTCATAGAACTGACACGACACACTCGATCTGCTGTATTTCATAGAACTGACACGACACACTCGATCTGCTGTATTTCATAGAACTGACACGACACACTCGATCTGCTGCATTTCATAGAACTGACACGACACACTCGATCTGCTGTATTTCATAGAACTGACACGACACACTTGATCTGCTGTATTTCATAGAACTGACTCGACACACTTGATCTGCTGTATTTCATAGAACTGACACGACACACTCGATCTGCTGCATTTCATAGAACTGACACGACACACTTGATCTGCTGTATTTCATAGAACTGACACGACACACTCGATCTGCTGCATTTCATAGAACTGACACGACACACTTGATCTGCTGTATTTCATAAAACTGACACGACACACTCGATCTGCTGCATTTCATAGAACTGACACGACACACTTGATCTGCTGTATTTCATAGAACTGACACGACACACTCGATCTGCTGCATTTCATAGAACTGACACGACACACTTGATCTGCTGTATTTCATAGAACTGACACGACACACTCGATCTGCTTCATTTCATAGAACTGACACGACACACTTGATCTGCTGTATTTCATAGAACTGACACGACACACTCGATCTGCTGTATTTCATAGAACTACACGACACACTTGATCTGCTGTATTTCATAGAACTGACACGACACACTCGATCTGCTGCATTTCATAGAACTGACACGACACACTTGATCTGCTGTATTTCATAGAACTGACACGACACACTCGATCTGCTGTATTTCATAGAACTGACACGACACACTCGATCTGCTGTATTTCATAGAACTGACACGACACACTTGATCTGCTGTATTTCATAGAACTGACTCGACACACTTGATCTGCTGTATTTCATAGAACTGACACGACACACTTGATCTGCTGTATTTCATAGAACTGACACGACACACTTGATCTGCTGTATTTCATAGAACTGACACGACACACTTGATCTGCTGCATTTCATAGAACTGACACGACACACTCGATCTGATGCAATTCATAGAACTGACACGACACACTCGATCTGCTGCATTTCATAGAACTGACACGACACACTTGATCTGCTGCATTTCATAGAACTGACACGACACACTTGATCTGCTGCATTTCATAGAATTGACACGACACACTTGATCTGCTGCATTTCATAGAACTGACACGACACACTTGATCTGCTGCATTTCATAGAACTGACACGACACACTCGATCTGCTGCATTTCATAGAACTGACACGACACACTTCATCTGCTGCATTTCATAGAACTGACACGACACACTCGATTTGCTGTATTTCATAGAACTGACACGACACACTCGATCTGCTGTATTTCATAGAACTGACACGACACACTTCATCTGCTGCATTTCATAGAACTGACACGACACACTCGATCTGCTGTATTTCATAGAACTGACACGACACACTCGATCTGATGCAATTCATAGAACTGACACGACACACTTGATCTGCTGCATTTCACTGAACTGACACGACACACTTGATCTGCTGCATTTCACTGAACTGACACGACACACTTGATCTGCTGCATTTCATAGAACTGACACGACACACTTCATCTGCTGCATTTCATAGAACTGACACGACACACTCGATCTGCTGTATTTCATAGAACTGACTTACTTCTGCGTCACTTAACGTCTTCATCTTCCTTTTCTCGCGACATTTCTTGGCTGCACGCCTGTTCTGAGCTTTTCGTCTCTCCCGCTTTGCTTGCTCCTCTTCTGTCAACTGAGGATTAAATATATACGTGCATACAGCCTGGTGGATTAAACAAAGATATCCATATAGATTGGAAGCTTAAATGGTTAACTAAACACAAATAGTTATTACATGGTTAAAGAAACGCATGTGCAGCTTAGATGATTAAATAAACACATGTTCAGCTTAGAGGATTAAATAAAAACATGTACAGCTTAGAGGATTAAATAAACACATGTACCGCTTAGAAGATTAAATAAACACATGTACAGCTTTGAGGATTAAATAAACGCATGTAAAGCTTAGAAGATTAAATAAACGCATGTAAAGCTTAGAGGATTAAAAAAACGCATGTAAAGCTTAGAAGATTAAATAAACGCATGTAAAGCTTAGAGGATTAAAAAAACGCATGTAAAGCTTAGAAGATTAAATAAACACATGTACAGCTTTGAGGATTAAATAAACGCATGTCCAGCTTAGAGGATTAAATAAACACATGTACAGCTTAGAGGATTAAATAAACACATGTACAGCTTAGAGGATTAAATAAACACATGTACAGCTCAGAGGATTAAATAAACACATGTACAGCTTAGAGGATTAAAAAAAAAACACGTACAGCTTAGAGGATTAAATAAACAGATGTTACTGCTTAGAGGATCACGTAAAAACACCTTACAGCCTAGATGATACAATAAACACACGTACAGTTTAGAGAATTAAATAAACACATGTACAGCTTTGAGAAGGGGTTTTTTGAATTCCCCCCCCCCCCCCCCCCCCCCCCCCCCCCCCCCCCCCCAAGCCCCCCCCCCCCTTGACCCTTCTTCCCCTTCTTTCTTGTCGAGCTAAAGAAAAATTCGCAGCACAGCTCCCCCTAACGCGGTTAAATACTAAGGACAAGAAGGGAAAACAGTGCACATTTAGTGTTTAGTTGTCTTGAATGCGATGAATGAATCTGTTAGGATGAATTTTTAATTACTGCCGTGGCACCCCAGGGTGTCGCGGCACCCAGTTTGAGCACCACTGGCCTAGAGGATCAAATAAACAAACTTCCAGCTTAGAGGATTAAATAAAGACATACATATAGCTGAGAGGATTAACTTCACATATATAGTGTGTCGAGTATTATTTGAAGACAGTGTCTGGAGGATTAAATAGACACGTATAGTGTTAAGAAGATTAGATTCAGATAAATCATATTTAGGGGATTAATCAAGACAAATAATGACTATAGGATTAAATCAAGACAAATAATGTCTATAGGATTAAATCAAGACAAATAATGACTATAGAATTAAATATAGACAAATAATATCTATAGGATTAAATCAAGACAAATAATATCTACAGGATTAAATCAAGACAAATAATGTCTATAGGATTAAATTAAGACAATTAATGTCTATAGGATTAAATCAAGACAAATAATGTCTATAGGATTAAATCAAGACAAATAATATCTATAGGATTAAATTAAGACAATTAATGTCTATAGGATTAAATTAAGACAAATAATGTCTATAGGATTAAATCAAGGATAGGATTAAATTAAGACAAATAATCTATAGGATCTATAATAATGATTAAATCAAGACAAATAATGTCTATAGGATTAAATCAAGACAAATAATGTCTATAGGATTAAATCAAGACAAATAATGTCTATAGGATTAAATCAAGACAAATAATGTCTATAGGATTAAATCAAGACAAATAATGTCTATAGGATTAAATCAAGACAAATAATGTCATAGTCTATAGATTAAATCAAGACAAATAATGTCTATAGGATTAAATCAAGACAAATAATATCTATAGGATTAAATCAAGACAAATAATGTCTATAGGATTAAATCAAGACAAATAATGTCTATAGGATTAAATCAAGACAAATAATGTCTATAGGATTAAATCAAGACAAATAATGTCTATAGGATTAAATCAAGACAAATAATGTCTATAGAATTAAATCAAGACAAATAATGTCTATAGGATTAAATCAAGACAAATAATATCTATAGGATTAAATTAAGACAATTAATGTCTATAGGATTAAATCAAGACAAATAATGTCTATAGGATTAAATCAAGACAAATAATGTCAATAGGATTAAATCAAGACAAATAATGTCTATAGGATTAAATCAAGACAAATAATATCTACAGGATTAAATCAAGACAAATAATGTCTATAGGATTAAATCAAGACAAATAATATCTATAGGATTAAATCAAGACAAATAATGTCTATAGGATTAAATCAAGACAAATAATGTCTATAGGATTAAATCAAGACAAATAATTTGAGCTTAGGTCAAAGCGGTGTACTGCATGGTTTAGTAGGCGACCTCAATGATGAACCAAACAACAGTGTATACAAGAATGAGTGCTCAGTGTCAGTAATCTTCTGTAGAAGGTAAACAAGGTCTTTGTTGAGTGTCAAGTACTCGTGAGGCTAGACGCTCGCGTGTGGATCGGAAGGTCGTGGGTTTGCTCCCCGGCAAAGTCGGACTTTTTTCAAAAATGAACTTGACTCCCAGGTCGACTAAGTCTTGAGTGGGTACCGGGCGAAGTCCCGGGAAGTAAAGGCGGCCGGCGTGATGTTGACCACATCACCCATCTTGTGCTAATCATCTATAAAAATATATGTCTAGCCTTACATGCCCAATAGCCTAAAGGTGTGGAAGAGGGACCTTTACTGTTTTTTGTCAAGTACTCGTATTAAAACAGCTGATAGCTGAATCACTAGCACATAAATTAGCTGTGGTATCCCATCCCTCCCGCCCCCCCCCCTCTCTCTCTGTCTTTCTCCGCCACCACCCCCCCCCCCACATACCCATCCGTCCAGCTATCCATCCATTCGTCTGTGCGTCTGTCTGTCGCTGTGTCTGCCCGTTTATCACAAACACGCATTATTTCACCTATAAACAGCGTGAGTACAGCCCACTAGGCTAAATCTGAACACTGTACCTCATAAGATCTGGGCTCCGTCGAGTTGATTTCGATGTCCGGCTCTCCCTTCTCCAGGCGTTTGCTCAGAATCCGCAAGCGGAGCTCTTCCTTCAGCAAGGGAGTCAGCTGGTTGGTTCTCTCCGTCTCCTGCCGGGCCCTCTCCAGCCGGGGGTCGGGAATGTGGGAGACGAAGGCGTTGCTAGGCAGGTTGGCGCTGAGCATTTCCATGGTGGTGTTGTCGAAGGCGTCTGGGTCGTGCTTGGAAGCCATGTTCGCTTCAGCTGTCAGTCAACCTGGCAACAGTGAAAGAGACAAAGCTGCATTGAAAGTAGTCACAATTGTATCAGTTGTTATCTCAATGGTAACATTAGCAAAAGGCAAAATGTGAAGGAACATTGTCGGCGCCTTCAGGCATATTGGGCATATAGGGCTAAACCTATAGTTTCTAGACCAGTCGGCACTAGGTGGGTGATGTCGTCTTTACTTCCCATGACTTTACCTGACATCTATTTAAGGCTAGGTCGACATGGAAGCCACGGTCTTTTTATGAGGCGGTGGGTGGGGGGGGGCGGTGTTGTCTGGCTTCCTTACGACCTGAACCCACGACCTTCGGATCCACAGGTAAGGGTTTAGCCGCTACACCATGGCGGCTCCCGGGTAAAACTTGCTGCAAATGAACTATGAGCTGTCAGCAGATTGATGAGAACTGATGTAGAGGCTGCACAGATGGGGTTTCACAAATAAAGTACGGGACCTCTTTCACGCCAATGGCACACTGGGCTTGTAATGTTAGGCTCTTATCTTTACGGACCAATCAGCAGTCGACGGGTTATGTGGTCAACATCACACTGACAGCCTTTGCTTTCCATGATTTTACTTTGGTGACTATGTTAAGCTGGGCCAACCCGAGGTAAAAAAAAAAAAAACACTCACACGACGCGGACTTTAACCCAAGACTTTTGTTCTAAAGGCGGCCCGTCTAGCCACTACGCCATCACGGCTCAAAATATGAAAGAAAAACAGTAAACTTTAAGTCTGGAGGATTAACTTCACTGCACCTTGTTATCTTATATAGCTTGGTCTCTCTCAGCAGAACGGCTAGCCTTGTGCCTAGCACAGGCTCAATGGTTCTAGCAACGATCCTCATGCATCTCCGAGAAACTGTACCTGTGAACTCAACCTAAAGCCTACGAATGTCAGGGTACGAACCACACGGCTTGACCAGGTAGCCACAGAAACCCTTTGTGTGGAAACATTAGAGCGCCATAGACAAGTTCACATCCATCTATAGCTTTCGTGATAGAAATTAACCACCTCTCTCCGCACCGCAGAGAGACAGAGAGAAAAAGGGAGAGGAAAGAGAAGAGACGAGAAGAGAAGAGAGAAGAAGAGGGGAGAAGAGAAGAGAAGAGAAGAGAAGAGAAGAGAAGAAAAGAGAAGAGAAGAGAAGAGAAGAGAAGAGAAGAGAAGAGAAGAGAAGAGAAGAGAAGAGAAGAGAAGAGAAGAGAAGAGAAGAGAAGAGAAGAGAAGAGAAGAGAAGAGAAGAGAAGAGAAGAGAAGAGAAGAGAAGAGAAGAGAAGATACAACAAGAGACGAGAAGAGAAGAGACGAGAAGTGAAAAGTAGAGAAGTGAAGAGAAGAGAATATATAAGAACAGAAGAGACGAGAAGAGAAGAGACGAAAAGGGAAGAGACGAAAAGAGAAGAGACAAAAAGAGAAGAGACGAGAAGGGACGAGAAGACAGACAGATGGTTACATAGATCACAAGACATCCACAATCTACTGATTCATCATTTCAAGAAATGATGATGCTTGTGCCTTGACTTCAAGTAATCTGAATATGGAGGACAGTGCAGCAAATCAAGGGACATTCTATCTGGAGACACAGGCCTCCACTCTGATATGTTTTTCTCACTGACACTGCCATAGATGATGCAATTAGCATCACGTGGGCTGCTTTTACTTCCCAAGTCACCATCTGGTGCCTATTTGCACTGGGTCGACTTGGCAGCCATGATCAGTACGTATGGTGCTCTTGTCTGGTTTCGTTTTTCATGAAGTTTAGTCAAAGTAAGCCATCATTTGATTTGCGTCATCTCACTTCTTCTAAAGTATTCACTATGTCAGCCCGGCCCCTTGCTCTCTGTTAACCTCCACAGCAGCACTGACCACAAGTCTTTCAGCGTGTTCTTTTTTCTTACATTTGCATACCCTACAACACGAATGAATTTAGAATAAAGAACTACAAGCACTTCATGTCAAAAGAGGTGTCGCCAAACTTGAAAGCTACACAGGTAGTCAAAGAAGAATAGTAAACTGATACAGAACTGGTGTTATTAGTCGCCACACGCTGAGGCATATAATGAAGGTGGGGTCCGAGTGCTTATGGACTTATCCAATGTTCAGTAAGGACAATATGTCGATTAACAAACTAACTAACTAACTAACTAACTAACTAACTAACTAACTAACTAACTAACTAACTAACTAACTAACTAACTAACTAACTAACTAACTAACTAACTAATTACCTAACTCACTAAGTAACTAACTAGCTATCTAACTAACTAACTAATTAACTAACTAACTAACTAACTAACTAACTAACTAACTAACTAACTAACTAACTATTAACTAACTAACTAACTAACCAAATACCTAACTCACTAAGTAACTAACTAACTATCTAACTAATTAACTAACTAAATAACTAACTAACTAACTAACTAACTAACTAACTAACTAACTAACTAACTAACTAACTAACTAACTAACTAACTAACTAACTAACTAACTAACTAACTAACTAACTAACTAACTAACTAACTAACTAACTACCTAGCTAACTAACTAACTAACTAGCTAACTAACTAACTAACTAGCTAGCTAACTAACTAACTAACTAACTAACTAACTAACTAACTAACTAGTTAACTAACTAACTAACTGGCTAGCTAACTAACAAACTAACTAGTTAACTAACTAACTAATTACCTAACTAACTAACTAACTAACTAACTAACTAACTAACTAACTAACTAACTAACTAACTAACTAACTAACTAACTAACTAACTAACTAACTAACTAACTAACTAACTAAATAACTAGCTAGCTAACTAACTAACTAACTAACTAACTAACTAACTAACTAACTAACTAATTAACTAACTAATTAGCTAACTAACTAACTAACTAACTAACTAACTAACTAACTAACTAACTAACTAACTAACTAACTAACTAACTAACTAACTAACTAACTAACTAACTAACTAACTAGCTAACTAGCTAGCTAACTAACTAACTAACTAACTAATTAACTAACTAACTAACTAACTAACTAACTAACTAGCTAGCTAACTAACTAACTAGCTAACTAACTAGCTAACTAACTAACTAACTAACTAACTAACTAACTAACTAACTAACTAACTAACTAACTAACTAACTAACTAACTAACTAGCTAACTAGCTAACTAACTAACTAAATAACTAAATAACTAACTAACTAACTAATTAACTAACTACATACCTAACAAATGAATCTGATTTTTGTCAGCCGTGCACGACTCAGAATCCCCGCCCACACCCTTTTTTTTCAAGCCCAGCCCATCTCTATCGCAGTGTTTCCCAAACTTCGGGGCGGGGGGCACCACCCTCTTCTCAAATAAAGATCCACTCAGCCGCCTCTGCCGAGAAATATCATCATCATGTGCAATGTCAATAAGCATAGGCGGTCATGATTCGCCATGATACTTCATTAGCGGAATTAGTGATCAAGTCAGTGCTCTTGATCCGCACTATGAATGTGATTGAGCTATCGAGACATTCATATCTTTGCTTCCCCATGCACTCTGTCCATTAATCCGGCCAGTTATCACCCACTGCTCGAGTCTATCTCTTGCCTTAAAGTATACCTTATGTTATCGAACCAATGGAAGATGCAATGAAATTGTGATATCGGCTTACTTCCGAGAACATGCTCTGGTCTGTAATTGTGATCTTTTCACCAGTTCAATCTCATATTTTGTTTTGAGAATGTCTTTGGCGTTTTTGAAACCTGAGACAGATGGGGCTGCCTGAGGTTTCTGGTAGCCTTCCTGAGTTCATCGGCATTTCCAATCTTAGAGATAGCACAATAGGCTCTAATTCACTGCTGAACTAGTTTTGTTCTGGATACTTTTTATTTCACAAATGATGCTGTCCTGTTTGGAGTATGAAATAAATGGCCTGGTTGGTGCGAGGGATGGGGGCAGGGGCGGGGGTGGTGTGCTGATTTTGCGTCCGTGAAAATTACAGCCTTTAATTAGTGACACTCTGCTATTGAGACTTGTCAGTTGAAAGCAGGGTTGCTATCTCTGCTCTATAGTTGGTGCATGCTTTCTGTGCCACAAGTGAGGGTGTGTCCATGTTGATTTAGAGAATGAAGTGTAGATCCATCCACCCAATTCATGTTTATTTTGTGGCTTTTTTAACAAAACCATTTGTGAACACAGGTGTCTAAATATTGGAAAGATAATGATTCCCGAGTAGATCAAGAGAAACAGCTCTTTGCTCTGACTCATTTTTTTTTTTTTTTTAGATTATTTTTAACACCTCCAGATCTATACTGGATGTCTGGGCGGTGAATCTATAGATGTGATATGAGAGCTTCACACATCATTACATCAGTTTTTATATTTGTATGTTGTGTCATAGTTATTCTTGCAAGAGGATTTATCATTTTGTTGTTGTTGTTGGAAGTGTGGTGTTTTATTTGTGGTTTTCTCTGGCATTGATGGTTCAGCAGATGGCTTGAGAGCCTGTTTGGCCCTTCAGTGTAAGTAAAGGTTGTGTACAGTCTAGGAAATCTAAGGGGCGCAGAGACAGCTGTTCAATTTCGGGCCAAGGAGCTCATTAATGCAGACACTAGACTAACTTATCCTTGGATGAGGAAATGCCACCTGGCCGCGATGTTAGGGCAGGAATAAAGAACACCCAGCCGCTTCTTCAGCTTGCTTGGTTCTAAACGTCTTAATGTTACCTTTCCCCTGGAGTAAACAAGCCAGACTGACAGGTTATTTAACTCCTATCCAACCGTTGGTGTCAAAAGTCTTTTTTTTTTTAATATTTAGAAAGTAACTGCTGATTGCAGGAGTGCAACCCCCCCTCCCCCTTAAGCCCTCCTAGTGTCACAAATAATGGAATATATTAAAATAAAACCTAAGAGAAACATATAATTAATGTTAATGAGAAGGATACGCCTGACTGGTTACAACATAATTTCTG